GACAATGTACAAAATAAAATGCAACTAAAAAAACCTTTTCATAGATACTTAAAATGCAAAGGGTGGGATAGTGAAACGAGTTTTACCATTTAAATACATTAGAAAATCGCCGTTTTACTGCCTCATCCTGTATATTAATTTCTTGTTATTTTCTAAAGAAAAATCGATTTTCTTACATTTAAATTAAAATAAATCGTACACTGGTACTGTGATGGAGAAAACAATAAATTTTACCTACATATATTACTTATTAGTTAAATATTACTAACGTGTATAGCCACTAGCGGTCGGCTGTTGCCTGTTATTTAACAATAACCTTTTATGGAGATTTTAAAAATTTTGTTTTTTTAATAATAGCATAGGAGCAGTATCATGATGTTCACGAGATTTGATCTAGTCATAAAATTAAATATTATCATTTATGACATAATTATTATTAAAATTTATCCTAATAGTAATAGTACATAGTAATAAAATAATGAAATATTTTATACAAAATTAGAGCTACAAGTTGATAAACTAAAAAATTAAAATTAGCACGAAGCAGATTATCTAATATTAGACAATTCAAACAATCAAGCGTGAATCTCTTTAAATGAATAACAGTATAACAATATACAAAACATTAGTTTTCCTTTAAAAAAATTGTGTAAGAAAAAATACATTTTGAGGCGGTATACTGCATAAAAACCAACACTTAATTTAAATCCAAAAAACAACAGTCCTCTTCATTATTTGCAGGTAGTTGTACCTTATATACTCATAGTTGACCTTCGGTAAGGTTATATAACGCAGGCTATAAAATAACGAGATAACGACAGTGGTTTTGTCGTATCAGAATCATTAAGTGTCTTAATAAGTACACGGATAGGTTTTTTTCCCAATAAATCGAGTTTCTACTATAATCAATTACACGATTTAGTCGCCTGTGATATCATGTAATAAACACAATATTATGATACCGATCATTGGACCCTAACCTAATCTAACACGGATAGACGTTACCAACTGATGATTTTTAGTGTCTGTTCGTTTCTCACATCTGGTACACCGGTTTTTTAGTTAAAAAAAAAAAAAAATTGAATTTGTGTAAACTAAGTAAAAAGTGGTACTTGAGCACAAAACCTAATAGTATCATTCTGCATAGATATACATAAAATTGTTTTAATGATTTGATCAATTTTTTTTAAAGATTTTAGGTGTTTTTGTTAAAATATACTAAATCTGCGAAAACACAGTTTCCCGGCAATTAAAAAAAAACTGTAGTGCCGAATTTTTTTTCCCGTTTAATATGTTATGGTTACATATGAGTTCCAACTACTGGCAAATTTCCCCCCCCCCCCCCCCAAAGTACAAACATGACAAATTTTGTGATTTATAGAGTTGCTATTCGAAGGAATTGGTCAAGTATTAAAAAAGTTACAGTGTATACAGCGAAAAAAAAAGCCCACATCAGAGTAAAACCAATACCTTCTCACTTTGCATCGAAGCTAAAATCATCAGTATTTTATGTCGAGCCGCGAAGACGTAGAAAAAAAAATTTGGGTAGCAATTTGTAATATATAGATATCAAATGCATTTATCATAATTATTTTATTCAACTGAATGCATAGAATAATACATTATAATGATAAATACTATTGTAACATCACATTTTTTTTTTTTTATATAGCCTTTATTAATAAAAAGTATTTGGCTCAACTTCACATTTTTATTAAATAAAACTAAAAGCATATTTACTGAGCAAGCTACAAATTCCTTTCCTATTCTACTTACGTCCAATTCACTACGCAATCTATATTTACTCATCAAGAATGTTCCAAATATTTCTACAGAGTGCAGACATTTTCGAAAAGTTTCCGGAACGTCCTTGAACGTTCTTAAAGTAATTTTTACCCTTAACTCTTTAATAGAATTACGCTTACTCTTCGAGAATGATACAGTTTTTGTCAAGAAAAATCCAGAAAGTTATGGAACGTTCCTAAAGTAGTTTTTACGCCTAACACATGATTGGGATGTACAGTATTCGTGTAATTCTAGAAATATAATATTCCATCTCAGATCACAAACAAATTGTTGTAATATTATTAACAAAATATAAAAAATTATTTTTTTAAAAATTCTACTCACTTCCAATTACTATTAATTAATTATTATATATTTTTACCAGAGTTACGCCTCCTAACGCAGCTAGTATATACATTATATATTTACTGGTTTACTGGTTTTTCGTATGACATTACATTATACTTACAATTAGTAGAGTGATTTCACAATTAGAGTTACACATTTATTAAGTTTGACACGTTAAACGTATGTATATATATAACTAAAATGTAATAATAAAACAAAACAAAAACATCACCGCATTATATAAAACCGTTGACCAGACTACTACTGCGCTTTTTCAATACATAAGAATAATAATGGTTTAATTAAACAGTTTTTTTTATTGCGGTTTAATTCACACAACAAAAATATACTTATGAGTGAAATAAGTATATTTTTATTGTGGTTAGGGTTTATTTATAGTTGTATAAAAACTACTTGTTTTAACAATTTAACATCTACAACAATAGTTTATTTAAATGATTGATGGTATCGTAGTGTGAATTATCTGATTTTGGCTTTATATTTGAAATGTTTTCAAAGGGTACTTACCAACTTTAAAACTATCTTAAATTATTTAATTTTTTTTTATAATTTTTTTAGCTTTACAGTTTTGATCTACTAAATTATTAGACTTTTAAAATAATTTAATATTATTTTATTACACCGGATCGTACTAAAATCACAGTGTTAATGTGTTATAAAATAAGTTTATTGAAATAAGGGAAAAACAGTTATGTACTGAATTATTCACACAGTTACTTGTTGGTCATTTATAAATGACAAACAATATACGTATTACCAAAACCAACATAGTTTAACGCATATGTTACAATTGTGGTGTACAAAATGTATACAAAATAATCGAATAAAAGGTAAAAAGTCCATACAGTGGGGTCCGGACATAGTAGGGACGGGAGGGACTCTCTTTTATTAAATAATTCTAATTTAGTTTTTCTTTTTATAAACATTTACAATTATATAATATGGAAACGTTTGTATCGATAAACATTTAAATAGATCTAATATACATTATATAATAAATGTTATTCAAACTATACAGCAAAGGTGTTATTAATATATGACGCAAATGGCAATGTTATTTGGAAAATAACAGAACATTCATGTATCTAAAAAACCACGTGTGCGGATAAATATTTTCGTTAGCAATAATCAAATTTGGTAAACGTTGCGTAAAATTATTTTCCAATATTTTAAATATTTCTGATATTTTTCGAACACAACAAGTCAAAATGTTAAATATATTATTAAACCTATAATTTAAGGTGATTATGTAACTCTCCAAAATAAACAAATTTGGTCCAACTAAAACTATGGTTAACTATGGCACAATATATATATATATATATTTAAATTTGAAATTGTTGACGGGTGGAATGGTAGATTTGTAAGCTTTATGTAAACTGTATTAGTTATTTACTATTTTGTTATTGAAATTGCGTGTATCGATTCATAAACTTTTATATTTTCGCCGAACCTTCGAGCTTAAATCATATAATTAAACTTAAAACCGAGTGTTATACCGAGTGTTAAAAAATAATATGTCACATTTAAAGCGCCTCGTCCAATCACAATTATTATATCTTAATTTAATCCATCGATTTATCTAGACAATCTTCTTCGAGATTATGAAAAATGTTGTTACAGGCTATAACGATATATTCACATTGTACTTAAACAAAGCTACAATAATAAAATCGGGTGCAAAAATAGTAACCAAGTTTGAAAACTTGCACTAAAGGAAAACAATACACTTTAAATTTGCCAGATAGATGAAGTTTAATATGAATCAATGAAATTTATGTTTTTTGTTTAGTAATAGTTTACACAATTTAATTTTCTACATTTATATTTATTTACATCTTTATTTTTAATGGTATATTTCTGCAAAATTGGATTGTTGTCATGGGATTCTTTCTATTAAAAAAACAAAAATTCTTATTAATTCATAGCTTAAATAAAATAAGTTTGTATAACGTTACCTATGTTACAAAAAAACAATGTAAATTAATTGTGTTTTGTATTTACAAAAAACCTCTAAGGAATGATATTTTATAGTATAAAAACTTAATATATATATATAAGTATATGTAACAATCTATATAACGGTTAGGTTAGTTTACCTAATAAATGTTTAGTACAATGGTGACAAGGATTCGTGGTGACACGCTTCGTTGTTGGCAACTGGTGTAATATACAATATCGAGCTTTCTCAAGTTCTAAACACGATACAAAAACGTTATTATATTAAATTAATATTATATATGAAAATGAATAACAAAATATAATATTTTAATATATAATGACAATAATAGTAATATAATTAAATCGGTAATATCAGAGAATAAGTTTCATTACAGCAGACAGCGAGGTAACGTTTCAACGACGTTATCAAGACGTGGTCAAGGAATTCCCTTAACTTAACTGATACGTAAATAAGAAATGCTCGGAAACGCAAACGTATTTATAGGGCTAACAGAACTGCGTTTTCGAATTTCAATCATCACACACGCATGGATTGTGTAAATTAAATCAGAAGTTGCATAACTTTGTTAACCTTTATGCCTCGGTCCATAACTTATTGATGATACCATCACACTAACCCAGTTCAAAGTAAAGGTCTGTCATAATTTTGAAACAAAGTTCTGTTAAAAGCTGTTAATTTTTGTCAAGTTTGTTGTGTTTTAAAAAAATATAATACAGCATGATTAAATTGTTTCAAAAAAAATCGAACATTTCAAAACAAACAAAAAGAGTTTTAAGACGTCCAAGAAAAATAAGCTTTTGTCGTCAACATTTTTGGTACCATAGTTTAATTGCACATACAAAATTAAATGAAACAAATATATATATTTTTTGTAAAAACATACCATCTTCTGATAAAACCTCACTCCCTAAAAAATAAAAAAAACATTTCTTATTTATTTAAGAAATATCAACAATAAAACATTTATAATAGTGAATATGTTAGGAAATAATAGCTTTATATGTGACATGTTTTACACGATTTTAAAACTGTTGAGCGGGATACTATTCTAATTCCTGTAGAAGATTATTAACACATCTCATGTAATGATGGTGGTTTCAACTTAAAGTGTTAGAGATAGAGTTCGGTGAAAATCACAGGGGGAAAAAGACAATGAAAAAAAAAATAATTGACTTAATGGTATACAGAATTAATGTTAACAACTTAATTTGGTCTCTCTCAGGAAGTTCTAAACACGATACAAAACGTTATTATATTAACTTAATATTATATATGAAAATGATTAACAAAATATTATATTTTAAAATATAATGACAATCATGATAATAAAATTAAAACAGTAGTATTAGTAGAGGACAAGTTTCATTACGATGGACCACAGTTGTCAAGGAATTCTCTTCAAAGAAAAAAATAGGTTATATGTATAAGTGAATCACCAAATTAATAAGGATAACTATTTTAATTAAAAAAATTATTTTTAAAAATATGTAATGAACTTAGCCTTAGACTGTAGTATACTTACCTACAAAACATGTACAAGATCCTTTGTTTGATACTTTTATGCGCGGAGGACGCGCTAAAATACAAAAAAAACGTATTTTATTTTTTTGAGGACTTTTAACATTAAAACCTTTTTAATAAAAAAAGAACTAAGTTAATTGTATACAGAAAATTAATTATTACATTTTACAAACATAATAAAGAAAGTGTACATTAGGCAACTATGCTAAATCTACTGTCTATACTATACCTTTCAAGATCATTACCTTTATTGCACAATATACATGAACATAAAATATGTGATATATAATAATATAATTTATATTAAAGTATATAAAAAAAGGGTACGACATTATCAAGACGCGGTCAAGGAATTTCCTTGGAAGAAAATAATAAATTCCATAATATAAAAAAGGGACATTTGCTAATTCGACTAACGCAATCGTCTATACAGAGCAAACGAAAACTGTGTTTTCGAATTTCAAGTAACTATTACCTTTGGAAGTGCTCGGTACGTCAGTGGTTTCTGTTGTCTTAGGCATTCCACATCCCAAGGTTTCGACAAATCCGCAAGCTTTTAAGCAAATAAAGTATAAGGTATTTTAAAAAATAACGAAGATTATAAATTAAAATTAATTAGTGCATATTTGTAAATGAGCACAAAATGATGATATGCAATCGAAGTCGCACAACTATGCTAACCTTTATGCCTAGGTACATAACTTGTTGAAAATAACATCACACTAATCTAGTTAAAAGTAAAAGTGGGTCACATTTTCGAAACAGGGTTTATTAAAAGCTGCTAATTAATTGTCAAGATTGAAATATTGCACAATATACATGAACATAAAATATGTGATATATAATAATATAATTTATATTAAAGTATATAAAAAAAGGGTACGACATTATCAAGACGCGGTCAAGGAATTTCCTTGGAAGAAAATAATAAATTCCATAATATGAAAAAGGGACATTTGCTAATTCGACTAACGCAATCGTCTATACAAAGCAAACGAAAACTGTGTTTTCGAATTTCAAGTAACTATTACCTTTGGAAGTGCTCGGTACGTCAGTGGTTTCTGTTGTCTTAGGCATTCCACATCCCAAGGTTTCGACAAATCCGCAAGCTTTTAAGCAAATAAAGTATAAGGTATTTTAAAAAATAACGAAGATTATAAATTAAAATTAATTAGTGCATATTTGTAAATGAGCACAAAATGATGATATCTAATCGAAGTCGCACAACTATGCTAACCTTTATGCCTAGGTACATAACTTGTTGAAAATAACATCACACTAATCTAGTTAAAAGTAAAAGTGGGTCACATTTTCGAAACAGGGTTTATTAAAAGCTGCTAATTAATTGTCAAGATTGAAATATTGCACAATATACATGAACATAAAATATGTGATATATAATAATATAATTTATATTAAAGTATATAAAAAAGGGTACGACATTATCAAGACGCGGTCAAGGAATTTCCTTGGAAGAAAATAATAAATTCCATTGTATGAAAAAGGGACATTTGCTAATTCGACTAACGCAATCTTCTATACAAAGCAAACGGAAACTGTGTTTTCGAATTTCAATCAAGTTCAAAATATAGTGAACCAAATTGAATGCTAAACGATGCAATTTTATGTTTTAAGACTATACAAGTGAATCACCAAATTAATAACGTTTAACTTTTTTATGTAAAATAATTATCTTTAAAACATAAGTAACTATTACTTTTGGAAGAGCTCAAAACGTTGGTTGTTTCTGTTGTCTTAGGCGTTCCACATCTAAAGATTTCGACCAATCCGCTAACTTTTAAGCAAATAAAGAATATTAGGTATTTTAAAATATAACGAAGATTATAAATCAAAATTCATTAGTGTATATTTTTAAATGAGCACGAAATGATGATATTTAATCGAAGTCGCACAACTATGCTAACCTTTATGCCAAGGTACAAAACTTGTTAAAAATAACATCACACTAATCTAGTTTAAAGTAAAAGTGGGTCACATTTTCGAAACAGGGTTTATTAAAAGCTGTTAATTGATTATCAAGTTTGAAATATTGCACAATGTACATGAACATAAAATATGTGTTTTATTATAATATAATAAATTACAATATATTTTACAACATGATTAATTTGTTTCAAAAATATTCGATTATAGAACTATTGATAATCGAACATTTCAAAATAAATGAACAACAGATTTAAGATGACCAAGATAAATTAGCTTTCTTCGTCAATATTTTTGGTACCATAGTTCATTTGTGCAAACAAAATTAAATGAAACAAAGTAATAAGTGACGAACAACATACCATTTCTTACTAAACTCCATCCTAACAAACAAAATTACATTTTTTATATAGTTGAGAATTTTTAATAATAAAACATTTTTAATAGTGAATATGTAAGAAACTAATAGCTTTAAATATAACATTTTTTACACGATTTTAAAACTGTTAAGAAGGATACTATACTTATTCCAGTAAATAAATATTAACACATCTCATGTATTCCTGGTGGTTTGAACTTATAGTGTTAGGAAAAGGGTTCACACTAGGTAACTCTACAGTCTATACTAGGACCGACGATTCTACACGTGTATTTTAAAAACACATGTAGGACAAGGTTCGTGTAGTTCAAATTGACGTTGTTAAGTATGCTCCCTTCTACCTTTTATCGTAATCGGCTAGACCGTTTGTACGCGTTATTGTTAGGACCGGTTTATTTAATGTATAAGCTTAGCCACGCGAACTCGGGCAAGCTTGACTATGCCGCTCCGTTGTGTAAGAAAAATAATAAATTTTATATAGTAAAATGATACAGTCCACTAGTCGTTGTTAGTGCAAAATTAACTTACTTTTAGTTCAACTTCCCGTAAGATCCTATGCGCAAACAGACGTTTAGAAGTTCGTGTAATTAATACACTTGTAGGACCCTAGATTCCACTAACTTGACCCAATGGCTATAATACTATATCTAAGTGACCACCATTAATTCAAGAGTAGTATTACGTAAATAAGAGGTCTTATTAAAACTTACAGTTTTAAGAATACTTGTAGTTGCAGGTACACGTGTACTTATAATCACACGAACTTCTACACGTCAATTTGAACCACACAAGTTACATGTGTAATCGGTAGCTCTCGTATACTTTACCTGAACGCTTTTTATCGTCAGCTATAATACAACAAATTATACATATAAGTTAATCTTTGCTAACTTTAAATTGACATAATAGTATTTAAAAACAATAAAAATTAAACGAGTTAAATATGAATTATGTTTTATATTTTTTTTAGTACTTTAGTGCAGCTTTTACATAAAAAAATTAAACCCCTATTGAATTTTATAGACTTATCTGGTCTAGTAGAACTTTTATCTCTATAATGTTTCAAAACATTTTTAAATATCTAAAAGTATACTATATGCTTTTTAAAATTTCCATATTTCAATTTTTTTTTAGAAAATATATTTTTAACAATAGATACAGAAAAATATGTAGAATTCCAATTAACTAATACTATTATGAAATAGTTTATAAGATATGTATGACAAACTGTTTTTTGTTCGACTGTCTCTGAGAAAGATTTTTTATTTTTATGGATTGCTTTTGTATTTACACATTATAGCACTCGAAGAAAGATAAAGACTGATTTCTATTATATTACACTATACAGGGTGTACCTATTTGGACATATACCAGTCTATTATCTAAACCAACATGTAATGCAAATTAAATTAATGTTTTGCTAACTTTAAGTGATTGTAAAAAACCTTTAATTATCTGTTGTATGATACTGTTTTCACAATGTAGAATAACATATGTTCTTCTAATAAAATAATTTTATTTTCAAATACATCTTGAAATATATGTGACAAGCAATTTGATAATTATTAATATTTCTCGTCTAAACTTTAGGTAAACGATTTGTTCTTTATTGCGACAATAATTGTAGTCAGGGCTAATACTGGATGATTGTTTAGAAGTATAAACAATTTTAAACTATAGTATACATTTATTTAAAGATATATTTGAAAATAAGTTAATTATTTAGATATATACATTCTACTCTACATTGTATAAAAAAACGTATAATTACCCTGTTTCCTTTGTAACTCCGCCATTTCTTTTAGTGTGAGTATTTTTGGGAGATCACCTTTTCATTATAAAATAAATAAATCATTTTTTTTACCAAATATTTTGCATACATATGAAAATTATACTGATAATTCATTATGGATAAGACCCTTTTTTTCTAAAATAATTCTAATTTTTAGTTTGCCATTTAAAAACTTGTACAATTACTAAAACTAGAAGCAATGTGTCAAAAAAATATTCAATTGTGTATAACATAGATTTTTTAACAAATGTTTTTCAAACTGTATAGCAACAGTGCTATTAAAGTATGACGCAAGTGACAATGTTATTTGGGAAATAATAGAACGGTTATGCATCTAAAAAACACGTGAGCGGATAAAACGTTTTGTTAGCAATAAACAATTTTGATTAGCGTTTTCAAATATTCCTGATATTTTTCGAAAACAATGGGTAGAAATATTAAATATTATATTTAATCTTTAAATTAATGTAATTAAGTTACTGTCCAAAACATACAAAGTTTTTCAACTAAAACTATGGTTAATATAAGGGCACATTAATTTCTAGTTTGACTGTTTTATTAAAAATATGATCATTAAATTTTATAAAAAGGTTCAAAATAAACGAATAAAAATTAAATTACTGAAGAAAAATATTGCTTTTGTCGGAACAGACACACAAAGTGATTATCAAAAAAATTGTTTGTACTGTAGTGCAGCTTTTACATAAAAAAATTAAACCCCTATTAAATTTTATAGACCTTTCTGGTTTAGTATACTGTATAACTTTTATCTCTATAATGTATAAAAAAAATTTTAAATATTACTTTTATATCTAAAAGTAAACTATATGCTTTTTAAAATTTCCATATTTCAATTTTTTTTTAGAAAATATATTTTTAACAATTTATTGTTAAAAATATATTATTATTTCTCTATGTATATATATATAGAAAAATATGTGGAATTCCAATTAACAAATATTATTATGAAATAGTTTATAAGATATGTATCACAAACCATTTTTCGTTCGACTTTCTCTGAGAAAGATTTTTTATTTTTATGGATTGCTTTTGTATTTACACATTATAGCACTCGAAGAAAGATAAAGAATGATTTCTATTCAATTACACTATACAGGGTGACCTATTTGGACATATACCAGTCTATTATCTAAACCAACATGTAATGCAAATTAAATTAATGTTTTGCTAACTTTAAGTGATTGTAAAAAACCTTTAATTATCTGTTGTATGATACTGTTTTCACAATTTAGAATCATATATGTTCTTCTAATGAATTAAATTTATTTTCAAATACATCTTGAAATATATGTGACAAGCAATTTGATAATTATTAAAATTTCTCGTCTAAACTTTAGGTAAACGATTTGTTCTTTATTGCGACAATAATTGTAGTCAGGGCTAATACTGGATGATTGTTTAGAAGTATAAACATTTTCAAACTATAATATGCATATATTTTAAGATATATTTGAAATTAAGTTTAATTCTTTAGATATACACATATTATTCTACATTGTATAAAAAAACTTATAATTACCCTGTTTCCTTTGTAACTCCGCCATTTCTTTTAGTGTTAGTATTATTGGGAGATCACCTTTTCATTATAAATATATCATTATTTTTATCAAATATTTTGCAAACATATGAAAATTATACAGATAATTCATTATGGATAAGACCCTTTTTTCTAAAATATTTCGAATTTTTAGTTTGCCATTTAAAAACATGTAAAATTACTAAAACTAGAAGCAAAGTGTCAAAAAAATATTCAATTGTTTATAACATACATTTTTTAACAAATGTTTTTCAAACTGTATAGAAACAGTGTTATTAAAGTATGACGCAAATGACAATGTTAATTGGGAAATAATAGAACGGCTATGCCTCTAAAACATGTGAGCGTATAAAACGTTTTGTTAGCAATAAACAATTTTGATTAGCGTTTTCAAATATTCCTGATATTTTTCGAAAAAAATGGGTTGAAGTATTAA